TTGTCCTAATGATAAAAATTCCATCGCATTAATAACATCTGTACTTTCAATTCCTCATTTCGTGCACATGGCCAAAACATCGATTCAACCAATAAACGATTAGCCTTTGTTCATTTGAAAAATTTAACGTGAGTATAATCAATTCTCAATTCATTAGTAGTTGTTGATAAATATTATATTAATCCAACATTGTTCAATTCCATTTCTAATAAATTGGTCAATAATTTTAATCCAAAATGTTTAGATCTACTGCTAAAGCAGCTAATCCTTTAGTTCAAAAATTCATTGCCGGTTCTGTTGGTGTTACCGGTTTAACTGCATCATATTTATTATATCAAGATTCAGTTACTGCTAGTGCCATGACGGCGGCAGAACATGGGTTACATCCACCAGCTTACGGGTGGTCGCACAATGGGATGTTTGACACATTTGACCATGCTTCCATTAGAAGAGGGTTCCAAGTTTACCAAGAAGTTTGTGCTGCTTGTCACTCTTTAGAAAGAATTGCTTGGAGAAATCTTGTTGGTGTTTCACACACCACCTCTGAAGCCAAGGCTTTCGCTGAGGACTTGGAATACGATGACGAACCAGATGACGAAGGTAAGCCAAGAAAGAGACCAGGTAAGTTGGCTGATTACATTCCATCGCCATACGATAACGAACAAGCTGCTAGAGCTGCCAACCAAGGGGCTTTACCACCAGATTTATCATTAATTGTGAAGGCCAGACACGGAGGATGTGACTACATCTTTTCTTTGTTGACCGGTTACCCAGACGAAGCACCAGCCGGTGTTGTTTTACCAGAAGGATCCAACTACAACCCATACTTCCCAGGTGGGGCCATTGCTATGGGTAGAGTTTTGTTCGATGACTTGGTTGAATACGAAGACGGTACTCCAGCCACCACCTCTCAAATGGCCAAGGATGTTACCACATTCTTGAACTGGGCTGCTGAACCTGAACACGACGACAGAAAGAAATGGGGTTTGAAGGCTCTTATTATTGTTTCTTCCTTGTACTTAGTATCCGTTTGGGTCAAGAAATTCAAATGGCAACCAATCAAGAATAGAAAGATCAGATTCGATCCCCCATCTAAAAGAAAATAGATAAATGATTGATATACATCCTTTTATCATTTGTCTTTTTGAGCAATTGCACTTGTTGGAGTTCGATTTGTTTCCATAAGATTTTCAATTTATAATTTCTAGTTGAGAAATTGAAACAGAAAAAAAGTTACTTCCCTTTGTCATGATTATGAAAATACTATAAAAGATCTAATGAGTTTATTTTATTAAAGAAAGAGATTTAATTTAATCTGTTTATATCGCCAAATAACTAATCTGTTTTGGAAATAATTTAAATTTAACCTATCTTTTATATTATTATTATATTTTTTATATTTTTTTTACATTGTTCCTCATTTAACATACACTAGATAGTTATTTTTTTAATTTATTCATTATTGTTATATTCGATTGTAATGCGAATCTTTGACTAGATTAGTTTAAGGTTATTATTTTGAAATAAGAAAGCCTTATTTTAGAATTATCGAATCCATACTACATAGTAATAATATCAGCTCTTTCTGTTGGATGCAAATCTACCGAAGTTCATGATTCTGCTGTAAAAAAATTAAGTAATCCTTCCTAAAATGAAAAACATTCCGCCGAAAATAAATATCTCAACTTTCGTGTCCTTTATTTTTATTGGCCAATTTTGCCGAACTCCTTCACCTCTCGGCGAAAATTATACACTAGTAATCAATTAAAATTCTTTTATTTATAAGTTGAAATTTCTTCTTAGAACTTTGTTACTTATTAATATTCTTGATTGTTTTCATCCCTTTATTTCATAATTCATAACTCCTACTTACATTTTGTAAAACAATTACATTTTACATTAGAAGATGAGTAATCTTAGCAAGAAAGATGATGGTCATGACGTGACAATAGATAGTACGAATTCGGATATTGAAGTAGAAAGATCAGGATCTACGAGCAATATAATGCTTGCACCAAGTCCTAAAAGCTCTTCAGAGTTATTGAGCTCAGAATCCGTTATTTCCGATTCCGACGCAAGGCCTTCGAAATTGATTGTTTTAATTACGTTGACATCCTCTATCAGTGGATTTATGTTTGGATATGACACGGGTTACATATCTTCCGCTTTGGTGAACATTGGTACCGATTTGAGCAATAAAATATTGACTAACGGAGAGAAGGAATTCATTACCTCTGCTACTTCGTTGGGTGCTTTGATTGGGGCTATCATCGGTGGAATATTGGCCAACTTAATTGGAAGAAAAGTGGTTTTGTTAGGTTCCAATGTTATTTTTGTGGTAGGTACGATAGTTCAATTAGCGGCACATACTGTTTGGACGATGATTGTTGGAAGATTTATTTTGGGTCTCGGGGTCGGTATTGCTTCTTTAATTTCACCTTTGATGTTGAGTGAATTAGCACCCTCAAAATACAGGGGCCGTTTAATTGTCACCAACTGTATGTTTATAACTGGAGGTCAGATGATTGCCTATTTCATAAACTGGGGATTAACCGGTGTGAATAATGGGTGGAGAATATCTGTTGGGTTATGTATGGTGCCACCAGTAATTCAATTTGTATTATTTTGCTTCTTACCAGATACGCCTAGATTCTACATAATGGTAGGTAGAGTTGAAGAGGCTAAGAGGGTTTTGAGTAAAACTCACCATAACCCTTCGAAGGCTTTTGTTAATGCAACCATTCAGGATATGATTGCCTCTAATTCAACAGTTCCAGGTAAGAATCCTTTGATTCAAGCTTGGAATTCAATCAAACTCATCCATACTAACCCTGCAAATTTCAGAGCATTGATATTAGCTTGTGGCTTACAAGGAATACAGCAATTTACTGGATTTAATTCATTAATGTATTTCAGTGCAACAATTTTTGAAACCATTGGGTTTCATAATGCAACTGCAGTGTCTATTATTATCGCCGCCACAAATTTCGTGTTTACAGGGGTTGCATTGTGCATTATTGATAAAATAGGTCGTAGACGTATCCTATTAGGAGCAATTCCGTGCATGTGTATCTCATTGGTCCTTTGTGCCATTGCATTTCACTATTTAGGTGTGAAATTTACATCAAGTTCTGATGTTATTGTCCAAGCGAGGGGTATAACGGGATGGGGAATTGTTATTATTCTCGGTATGGTATGGTTTGTTGCTTCCTACGCGATCGGTATAGGTAACAGTGCCTGGACTGGTGTCGAATTATTCTCAGATGTAAATGTTAGAGCTGTGGGTTGTATGTATGCCGCTGCTACTAATTGGGCTGGTTCCTTAGTTATTGCATCTACTTTCTTGACCATGTTAGAGAATATAACTCCTCCTGGTACTTTTGCATTTTTCGCAGGGTTATGTTGTGTTGCATTCTTTTTCGTTTATTTCTTATTACCTGAGGTTTCAGGGTTAGAATTGGAAGAGACTACAGAGTTTTTAGCCAACGGATTCAATGTTAAGGCTTCTCGTCAAATTTCGAAGGAAAGACAGAAGGTGTCAAAATTCGTTAATCACAATGGCGCTCAAAGTGCATAAATTAATAAGTATATTTTGTTAACTAAAAGCTTTAATTCTCATTTAGACTAGTCATATAGTATTCATTCATATAGGTATTTCAAAAATAATAATAATAATAGTAATATCGATTTCATAAAGCTGAATTTTTTTTGCAATCTCAGTCGTGGCATCGTTCAAATATGAAAGCATCTTAAATTGTCTAACTCAATTAATCTTAACAATATTCAAAAGGTTAATGGTTGGAAGTATGGATCATCCTGAACTTAGTGAACCAGTAATACCGAATGATGAATATGCTAAATCTTGTTCAAACAAGTTGCAACCTATGAATAGGTTTCGTGATATGAGTAAATTGCGTAATTATGAAATCATTCGAAAATTAGGTCAAGGAACATTCGGTGTAGTTCAGAAGGCCAGAAACATCAAAACAAAGGAACTAGTAGCATTGAAACAGTTAATAAATCATTCAGCCAAAGAGGGCTTCCCAATAACCGCCATGCGTGAAATTACCATTTTGAAGAAATTAAATCATAAGAATATTTTAAAAATAATAGATATGATATATGAGGAGCCTAAAGTTTCTAATCCCCAGGATATACTTCATCAGCGTGGTTGTTTTTATACGGTTTCTCCTTATATGTGCTCAGATTTAGTTGGATTATTGGAGAATCCTAACATAAATCTTGAAATATCTCACATTAAATGTTTTATGATACAATTATTGCATGGCATTCAGTACATCCATGAACAGATGTTTTTACACAGAGACATAAAAGCTGCAAATATCCTTATTGACCGTAGCGGAATATTGAAGATTGCAGATTTTGGTTTGGCTAGAGTATACCATGGATCACCTCCAAAACTACTGAGTGGTCCAGGTGGCGGTGAGAGAGCTTATACTGGATTAGTTGTAACAAGATGGTACAGACCTCCAGAATTATTACTAGGTGAAAGAAGATATACTACCGCAGTTGATATGTGGGGAATTGGATGTGTGTTTGGCGAATTATTTACTAGGAAACCTATACTTGTTGGGAAGACAGACGCACATCAAGCGCAACTAATTTTTGACTTGATTGGACCACCAAATTCTAATAACTGGCCACAAGCTATAAGTCTACCAAATAAACACGATTTGAATATCGGTTTAACTTGCCAAAGAAGTTTAGAATCAAAGTTTGCACCTCTCATTTCCCCTGATGGAATTGATTTATTATCCGGTTTATTAACTCTTGATCCATACAAAAGATTTAATGCATTGGATGCTTTGAATCATAATTATTTCAAGACTGAACCATTACCAATACAGCCCCAGGAATTACCGAAGTTCGAAGAATGCCACGAAATCGATAAGGAGAGGTTTAAATTGTTAAGAGAAAAGAAGAACAATACTAATGAAGCTAACAAGCTTTCCAAAACACAATTTCCCAAAGGCCCGGGTGAGTACAATAATTCAAACAACTATCCTAGAAATCGAAATGGTACCTTTCCATCAGCATTGCCAAAGCAACCCAAATTTTATAATCAACATCAACAAGAATCACACGCACCTCATCAAATGCATACCGATACCTATATTCCCAAATCTAGTAAGGAAAGACCTGACAGAAATGTTCCCCTTAAAGAACCAATAACATCGTACCAGAGCTTGAGAGATAGATCCCCAAGAAGAGAAGGGCATATATCTCGAAGACCACCTACAAAAAACCCCAATAATATCTCCAGCTCATCTACTTCGAATGCCGAGAATACCGTGTCTAATGTTGTTAGTCAAAAAAGTCACACAAACGCCAAAGCATCTGCTGGTATATTCATGACAAATCCAAGAAAACAGAGACCCAAACCGAATACGCAGCCACATTTGCGTAATGTTTCTGATCAATTTAAAAAGCGTAAACTCATTCTGGACGAGCAGAATGAAAGTGATCTAACCGATTTTGATGAAGACGTCAAGGATAATAGGCAGTTAGATTCTTTTTTAGATTGGGATACTTTCACAAGGTCACCGGAAAATAGAAAGCTACAACATGAAAAGAAACAGTTTGAAACAAAACATAAATGAATGTTCAACTGAAGTTATCCACGTGTAAAATATTGATTATCAAATAAAAAGTATATTAGGAAGCATAAATCTCGAGCCGAGCTCGGAATCAGATATGGCAAAATTAGTCGCGAAGTGATTCTTAGCTATGAAAGTAATCTGATTAATCAGATAAAGGCTTAAATGATCAAAGTATGATTCCTGCAAGGCTTTTAATAATTATTAATTCTTATATAAATATATAAGGGTATTGATTAAACATCGAACTTAATTAGTTATTAGATATTGATTGAACTATATAAAGATGAAGACTTTAGATGATTACTTCTCGGTTCAAGTATTTCTTATTGTGTTGCGAGAAACGCTAGAGCTGGCAATAATTATATCGGTATTATTGGCATTCATAAAACAAAGCTTTAATTCTAATAAGCTTAAATATCCTAACCGTAGAAATTTGAATATAAATTATACTGCTAGAGGAGATGAAACTGCAGAATTACTACATGAAGCTGAAGAACAGGAAATATTAGATATTCAGCATACGAGCCATGATGTAGACAGTTTGTCCATATACAAATATTTGAGACTTCAAATATGGATTGGAGGGATGCTTGGTGTTACATGCTGCTTGATAATTGGATCGATAATTTTGGCAATGTTTTACATTATAGGCAAAGATTTTTGGTCAGTGACAGAACATTACTGGGAGGGTACATTTTCCATATTAGCCAGCATCATTATATCAGTTATGGGTATAAAAATATTAAGGGTGAGTAAAATGCAACATAAATGGAAGAGAAAATTGTCAATGCTAATTAACCAGTCAAATTATATTGGAACTGTAGTGAGGCACCAAAGTACCAACCCAGATTTATCAGGAAAGGTTTCCAATTTTTCTGAAAAGTATGCCATGTTCATTTTGCCATTTGTTACCACATTAAGAGAAGGAATGGAGGCTATTGTTTTCATTGGAGGTATTGGGATCAATGAAAATACTTCAATCTTGGCAATTTTTAATTCGTTTGCAACAGCCTTAATGCTAGGTTCATTAATCGGTCTTTTATTATATCGCCTGGGGAATACCTTATCCTTGCAATGGTTTTTAATTGCATCCACTGGATTCTTATATCTAGTTGCGGCGGGATTATTCTCTAAGGGCGTATGGAATTTTGAATTACAAAGATTTATTGATTTATGCGATGGATTTGATGTAAGTGAGACGGGACATGGACCAGGGTCATATGATATATCAAAAAGTGTATGGCATGTAAACTGTTGTAACGGCGAATTACAGGACGATGGGGCTTTTTGGATGATTCTTACCGCAGTGTTTGGATGGACTAATAGTGCCACTTACGGAAGTGTTATTAGTTATAACATTTATTGGATTACTGTGATTTTGGTATTTGCTTCATTGTTGTTCGAAGAAAAACATGGCAGATTACCTGTTGTTCCATTAACCTGGCAAAAAAGAAGAATCGCCAAAAGGAATTCTGATTATGCTCCAGTAGAACTGCTTGCTACCTCCGATACAGCCAGGGAAAGTATTGATTCAGTAAATTCAAAGACACCTTTAAATAACTAATTAAAAATCAACCGTGGTGGACCAGGCAAAGAGATGTACACTAAAACACCTTTTCACTTCAAACAATACAATCTTACTGTTACTACAAATTGTATTTCTTAGTTTAGAATGATAATTAAATGAGCCTCCGGATTCTACTATGATGTTTTAACCGCCTGAAAATAAATCCGGTTAATCTACATAGCCGAATATTGGTTGTTAGTTATGGAAATAATAATAGTATTGTTCGCAAAATAAAACAATGGTTGTATAAATTTATCATTTGATCTGTGTACAACGGCGGACGAATTCGAGGAACATTTTTTTATCAAAACTTATCTGATTGGATCTTTTAATGCAACTCTAAACGAAAGTATATTTTATACCCCCTTTTGATCTGGACTAGATCAGATTAATTTTTGCATATTAGAAATATAAAAAATATTTCTAAACTGTGTCAAAGCTACTATTGTTGTAAGCAAGATGAAATAATTTTCAGTTGACATCTTTAATGACATAGACTGCTCGTAGATGTATACACTTCAGAGCTACATACTTTGACTTATTGTTATGTCATAAAAAGTTTTTCTTGGCATCAATAAATTTGAAATCAAATTCTGTACAATATATTTGACTGCTTTAAATTTGACGCAAGGCAAAATCAGATAACCAAGTTGCGCCATATGCATTTTGTTAAAAAAAATGCACATGAATAGATTTTCTATTTTAGGTATTGTTCAACAATATATGGAAAACCGTAATTAAAATTGTTGCCTAGTCTTCAGTAGACTAGCAGTTACCAACCAATCGGTTATATAACCTGGGGTGAGAATTATTCAGTTTCCTGTAGCTCCGTACTTAGCTGCAACAAATGTCAAAAAATATATGCTAGAAATACTACACATTTATATTATCAGTTGAAAAAGCTTTCAACTGATGGAAATATAAGTATATCCTTCTTTTTTTATTTTTCTTCGTAAAATTCATAGTACGCCACTTTAATACTTGGTAATCTTCAATAAGTATATAATATGCTTTTGTCAACAAAATACAGCCTATTACTGTTACTTATATTTATTGTCGGTATCGCAACTGTTGATGCAGAGGGAGGAGCACCCTATACACATTATGGATATGCTGCAAGAATAGCATCATCATGTTCTGGGGCTGTTTCAGCTACTGCTACAATTTGCGATCCAACTTCGCCATATGCATATTATTGTTACTGTGTTGACCCTAATGCATTAGCTATGGTTGCTGGATGTTACCATATTCTTGACGAGACTTCGCCAGACTTTGTTAGTAAATTGAGTGAAAACTGTAAAACATTCGGAATCTCCATTACTTTGGACCAATTTGAAGCAGCATACAAGAATTATACTACCTTAGCTAAGGATCCAGTCGATATCAAGGGATTTAATGCAACAGTTCCAATCAACATTCCTGTTAAGTTAAATACAACAGTGGTTAAGTTATATGTTAAAGCATATGATCAGTTCTTGGGTAATTATGAAAATTCATTGTATTACGGTTCAGGTGTTCTTGGTTATTGGGCACTTGTCTTCTTAATTGTTACAGTTGTAAACTGGACCAAAATAATATCCCCTGGGTTGGTAAAAACATTCACAGGTCCAGTATCTAACACATGGAGAAAATATGTTACATTACCAGCAGCTGCTAGCAAGAATAAAACCAGTGAGAGACCTTTCTTAAAGGTTTTCGATTTTTTAGTACCTTCAAGACTTGAGACATTAATTCTTGTAGGCTTTGTTGCAGTCACAATAGCATGTTGCAGCGCTAATATCAGGTACGTTCAAAATGATCCTATTTTTGAAACAAGACGTCTCGCAATCATTCGTTATGTTGCAGATAGAACTGGTATTGTCGTATCAGTCAATATGCCATTATTGATCTTGTTTGCCGGTCGTAATAACTTCTTACAATGGTTGACTAGATGGGACTTTGCCACATTTATTGC